TTATCAAAATTCGGGAAACCTCCTCGACGAACTTTTAAACACATTTCTGGGTCTTAAACTCATATCGACTCGTTGTGGACTTTGCCTAAGTGCATACCTTTCTTTATCTGATACAATAATAGGCTTATAGACCTACGATTTGGTATCAGCAGTCTGGCGTCAACGACTGACGAAAATATTTTGGTTAAAATGTGATATTGTAATACGCAACAGCACTAAGTTCTTCACAGGATGTACCCTATGATATGATATGATGTGCACATCATTCTTTATTCATCTAATACCACAATAAGCTTGTAGACCTACGATTTGATATCAGTAGTCTGACGTCTACGACTGACAAAAATATTTTGGTCAAAATGTGATATTGTAATACGCAGCACCATTATATTGCAGCTTTTAAAAATTGTAATAAAAAGGTATAAATATTGTGCATTTCTGTACTGCACATTATTTTCGTACTGCGATGCGCTATGATTGGTATTATTTCATCGATGTATGACTGTTTAATTGACTGGCTACAACGCTGTGCCAGAGAATTATTATCTAATTTCAGAAGATATATTGATATATGCATTAGAAACGTTGAGAACTCTGAATAAAACGATGGAAGAGATGCAGCATTGCCGGGGGGAAATTTGCCTGTGTGTTGAGAACTCTGAAGAAAACGATGGAGGGGATTTAGCATTGGCGGGGGAAACTCGGAGAGAAACTTGCCTATGTTAAAGAAGCTCCTGCATCAGTCGCTCTGTAAAGACAAGATTCGACAGTCGCTCTGTAAAGACAAGATTCGACAGTCGCTCTGTAAAAGTCAAGGTTCGACAGTAGCTTCCACATACAGTAAACCAAAATGTTCGATATCGAAATGAACGCTACACAAGCAAATTATTACACGCCTGTTCAACATGTGGATGAGGATGAGGATCACCCCAGGTGGAAACAAAACTACGAGTGTTTCGAGGAGCCACCATGCAAAATGGAACGTAAGAAGTGAGTATCAATGTGAATTTGGTTGGTACTTTGTGTGCACTTTCCCGACCAAATTTTTAAATATATATAACATTTACATTATATTTTTATAGCATTCCTGAGTCATGTCATGCTACTCGCATCCTGGGGCGCAGATACGCTTTGACTGCAACGCCTCATAAGTATTTGGAAATTAGACTCAATGTACAATCTCGATCACCCGTCGCGGAAATAGTCCTCGGTGTCCTAATCGCGGTAATGAACTAATATTACATCCAGACACTTGGCGAAAACTGATGGAAAATCGTGGTGCTGTACACTCGTGAACTAAAAGATATATGCATCGATTTTTTGTTGACTTCGGAACGCGCTCCAGCTTGAGGAGAAAGACAACCACTGCTTCATACGTCAGCGCTGTCGCTTATTACGAGAGCAGAAGGATGGCATATACGAGTGTCAAATAAGTAGCGATTGTGGCGTAGACACAAATGTCTTGGAGACTTTGAGTTATAATTGAAGAAATGATGAAAACAAATAGTGATTGTAAAGAAAAGTGGCAAAAGGCTTCATAAAATTTGTAAAACAGCATATTAAAGGAGAGTATTAATTGTCTAATAATATTTTAAATAAAAAATATTTTTAAATTTGAGTGTAGTTTTAAATTTGAGAGTAAGTTAAAAAAGTTTTAAACCATAATTTCTTTAATGTTAATAATTTTATAGCTATAAATTTGCCATCGACGTTAAATGAATATGTATGTAATGCTATCATTTACATAGGTGGAAAATTATATTATTGCGCTCATAAAAAATAAGCAGCAAACCAAGTCGAATGATATTTTTTTAACAAGATGCTCATATTACTCAACTTGGTCTGCTGCTTACTTCTGCTGAACACAATAATATAATTCCTCACGTATGGAAATAATAGCATTATATATATATTCATTCAACGTCGATGACAAATTTATTAACATTAAAGAAATTATGGTTTAAAACTTTTTTAACTTACACTCAAATTTAAAAATATTTTTTACTTAAAATATTATTAGACAATTAATACTCTCCTTTAATATGCTGTTTTACAAATTTTATGAAGCCTTTTGCCACTTTTCTTCACAATCACTATTTGTTTTCTTCATTTCTTCAATTATAATTCAAGGTCTCCAAGACATTTGTGTCTACGCCACAATCACTACTTATTTGACACTCGTATATGCCATCCTTCTGCTCTCGTAATAAGTGACAGCGCTGACGTATGAAGCAGTAATTGTCTTTCTCCTCAGGTTGGAGCGCGTTCCGAAGTCAACAAAAAATCGATGCATATACCTTTTAGTTCACGAGTGTACAATGACTTCTGGAAGCGCGCAACCCATCGTACTTTCCGCTACGGATTCGAGATTTAAGAGTGAAATTGTTCGAGCTAAATGGTTCAAAAATTGTAAAATTAATGCAATCTTCTAAGTGTTTGTATTTGAGTCCTGCTACAATGAACAAGTTATTTACTTATGAATATTGCATTGATCATATATATATACGCAGTTGTCTGAACAGTCGTATCTCATTAGATCAAAAATTCAAACTTTTGTAAAAGTTCTTCGAGAAAAGAAAATTACCGAAATGTGCTATGCGGCAAAAGCGATACGTGAAAGCGCTGGCTTTGATGGTGAGTCACTTATTGATTGCGAGCTGCTGGCATGTGCTTCGAAAGATATCATGCGCAAAGCTGTGAGATGTTTGGTATTCTGAGAAATAAATTACTTTGTTATATATTATGATACATCTTTTTTACTTTAGACCACATCCTTTCTTCCAACTTTCCCTTATCCCCTTTCTTAGGATTTTATATGGTAATTGTGTTTGATAAAAATACTTCTTTATTTGCGATATGATGCTTATTAGACGTTCGAGAGACGTTCGATACACGTTCGATAAACATTCGTGAGATGTTCAATTGACGTTTGAGAGACGTTCGATATGGCGCAGTAAACGAAGGGCCTGGGGCCCTATTCTTGAATTCATGCGATAATTATCGCATGCGGAAAATATCGCACGGTCAGTATCGTATGCGACTTCAGAATGGTATTCTCAGCTATCATGCGATATGAGGTATGCGATAAATTTCGTATGCGATAAAAGCTGTGTTCCGAAAGTCACTGCGTACTGAACATCTATAGTTTATGTCGCGTATTTTCTTGAATACTAACAGTGAATTTCGGAATTCAGCCTAAATCTAAACAACGCAGCTTAACTCTTCACAAAAATTTCTGTGATATATTGGGTCTGGGAAAAAGTTCGTGGCGTTTTTCCCGATAGATGGCGTCAATTGCAAATAACTCAGGAAACACAGATCGCAGCGATACCTCTAAACGCTCGTTGGAAAGGTTACACTTCGTGCGTTACTTTGAGTGTATAAACATCGAAATTGGTGCAGTGGTTGGAAAGTGGTTTGCGTTTGAAAATGGAGAAAAGTAATGAAAAATTGCGCTATATTTTGCAATATTATTACGACAAAGGGAAGAACTCTGCGCAGGCTTGTGACAAAATTTGTGCTGTGTACGATGAAGGTACTTTATCAAAATCTGCAGCGCGGAAATGGCTCGCTCGCTTTCGTTCTGGTAATTTTCATGTGAAAGATGAGCCACGCTCTGGTCGTCCAATCATTGAAAAAGCTGATGAAATTCTTGAAAAAGCCCAGCAAAATAAGCATATCAGCAGTATCGATATTGGTATGGAGCTAGGCATTGACCACAAAACTGTTTTGAACCATTTACACAAAGCTGGCTACAAAAAGAAGCTCGATATATGGATTCCTCATGAGTTGAGCGCGAAAAACATGATAGACCGAATTAACATCTGCGATGCGCTGCTGAAACGTAATGAAATCGAGCCATTTCTGAAACGTGTCATAACTGGTGATGGAAAATGTATCACGTACGACAATCGGAAGCGTCAAAGATCGTGGACAAGGGATAGTGAGCCGTCACAAGCGTTCGCGAAGCCAGGATTGACGCCGAAAAAGGTGATACTGTGTGTGTGGTGGGACTGGAAGGGAATCTTCCACCATGAGCTATTTCCAGTTGGTCAGACGATTGATTCTCAACTCTACTGTGGACAGCTAGAGAGATTACGCCAAGCAGTTGAAAGAAAACGGCCCGAATTGAATAATAGGAAAGGTGTTGTCTTCCATCATGACTACGCCCGACCACACATTTCTTTGATGACCCGTCAAAAATTGCGAGAGCTTGGTTGGGAAGTTTTGATTCATCCACCATATATTCCAGACATAGCACCCTCTGACTATCACTTGTTCCGATCTCTGCAGAACTCTCTCAATGGAATTAAGCTGGTTTCAAAAGAAGCCTGTGAAAACCACTTGATTCAGTTTTTCAACCAGAAACCACAGAAGGTCTTCACCGATGGTATCATGGCTCTACCCGAAAAGTGGAGAAACATTGTCGATAATAATAGAGCATATTTGGTTTAAATAAATTCATTTTCACACTATAAGAAAACCAGTTGAATTTTACTAAAAAAGCGCCACGAACTTTTCCCCAGACCCAATATTTTATTTGAAGTGCAAATTTGGTTATAGTTAAAAAAATATTAATAGTCAACATTGATTTAAAATGGCATTGGCGTCAAATGAAGTAAAGGAACGATGTACATATGTTAATGAAGTACAGAAAAGTTTGCTAGTTGGTAAGTATTATCTTCAATATGTAAGTCTAATGAAATTTGCTTTAAACTATCAGTCAACTCAGCTTATTTATATTAAACTGAGCTTATTATATTAAATTGAGCTTATTTATATTAAAAATTTGCAAATTGTATTTAAAGACATTTATAATGTGTCAACAAATAATGAGTAATAGCTGTTTGACAGACTGATAGTAACTATTATTTATTAATCTTTCAATACTCATTTTAGTGCTCTATAATATATATTTGAATTGCAGAATTTATGCGTAAACATCTGGAACTACGTAGTGGAAAGTTTTCTGCAACGTTTATTTATAAACATGCTCAAAAATTATGGGAAAAAGTAACAGCAGAATTATATGAGATACCTGGTGCACAAAAAGAGTGGAAACAATGGCGAAAGGTATGTATTATATTGACAAATACCTACATTTCTTTGTACAGAAAAAAGATTATATACTTTAAATAATCTGATTGTCTACTTTGTGTCCATATCATAGACTTGGCAAGACATGCGAAGTTCCATTAAAGCTGGAATATATTGCTGAAATATTTAGCTGAAATATTTTGATCAAGAATCATGCAAAAGCAACTGGTGGAGGGTCTGCGTCAAGTCAGGTTTTAACCGAAATGGATCAAAATGTCCTGGCAATTATGGGTACAACAGTCGTGGGAGGACATAAGACAGTGCAAGAATCCAACGTGCAAATTGTAAGCATCTTTGTTGTATTGTATTATAATATCAGAAATATATTAAGAAATTATAATATTAAATATTAACAGAAAGTATGCGTGTACATTAATATTTTTTGCAGAAGTGGATAATGATTCAATTGTATGTGAAATCGATGATGATGAAAATAGGGACAATTTTCCCATAAAATACAAAAGTCAAGAGATAACGCAGCAATCTGTGTCACAACAGTCATTATCTTCTCAAGATTATTACAGTATATTGGAAGAAAACTCACCAGAAGAAAACTTAAACAATGATAATGACAATAACAATAGGAAATCTTTAAAAAAAATGGAAACAACTGCAATTAGTGTAGTCAACAACATATCAGATATTTCTGTAACACTAACTTCAAAATCGAGTGGCATACAAAGAGGTGTTAAAAGAATTTCTGCTGCACAAAGATATGATAAATCAATTGAACAAACTGAAAAGTTAGCGAAAATTTCGCAGGAAGATAGCGAGATACGAAAATCGTATTACGCACAAAAATTAAAACTTTATAAGAAGAAAATAGCTCTGAAAGAAAAAAATATCAATATCAAAGAAAATATATGCACATTGCTGGAGCAATTAGTAAAAAAAAGCAATTAAAGAGTTACAGATATAAGATATAGGCTGTGAAAATGACATTAGTGTATTCACAAAGAAAGAAATGTTCCTATAAGCTGTTGATGTGTACTACATGGGCTGAAAAGTCTTTGGCTTAACAATGAAAAACGATTTTTTTAATGAAAAAAGTGTTTTATTCCTCGACATAATCTCCATTTAGAGTAATGCACTTACAAGGAACATTCGGCAACGCGGAAATTCAAAAAAATCTGAAACTCTGCATAATTGTAGAGCAGATATACCTAATAACAAAACAATTTTTCGATGGTGCCCAAAAACGGTTTTAAGGGTGGAAACAACCCCTTGAACAAAGTTGATTTTTGTCTTTCTAAGCGAATATTATCGAAACTATTAAAGATATGAAAAAATGTTTTAGACAAAAGTTTTATGGTTTTAAAAGTACTTTATTATGCTATATTTAGATTTTTTTAAAATGTAAAATTGTGTATAAAATACCCCCCCTCCTTCTCTTTTTTCAAATTGTTAAAATCAATTGTCCAACCAAAATAAAGCTTATTTTATGACAAATTCAACTATATATAATAACATTATGTTTGGAAAAGGCAATATTGAAAAAAAAATTAAACATGCTCTTATATGTATGCTACGCGTACCAAACTTAAGGATTCGCTACTTGACGATGGCATTTCTTTCTTCTTCAAATCTTCCTCATAATTGCAAACTGTAAAAGATAAGGAAGGAAGAAAATAGAAAATCTAAAAAAGCAATAAAGTTGATGTTAAGAAGTAAGTAGGAGAAAAATAGCATGATAAGGATACAGTCACTAATATTTAAAAATGTTATAAATTATAAAATTTCACGTAATAGACGTTTATTTTGCCAACATTGCGGCTACCTTTTTCATTAATTTAAACGACACGCGTAAATATAAATAAATATGTGTGTGTGTGTATGTGTGTTTTTGTACGTGCGCACGTGTGTGTACATCATGGCAACATGCAAAACACTTGTCACAAGTTTTATGACTGTGCGACCAAAATAGCACTCTTTATCAAGTACAGTGCAATCAAGGTTCATTATATTGACATATGTTATCTTCATTCATTTGCATATAAAAGCTGTCCATTTTGGAATACATTTCAGTATTATTGAAGCAGTTATTGAAGCAGTACGTATATTATTATTGCTGTGAGAAATGTTTAATTAAAATATCCTTAAGATTTGTATCATAATGTCAGTAATAAATCCAGCTAATGTTATTAATTTGTTAATTGCGACATTTCATTTCACAAATATTGCAATAACTCCTGTTAATCATCAAGAGGTGGAACTCCATGATACAATTACTGATTTAATAAAGAGTGCTATACATTACGATATTACGATCGAACATGAGTGGGGACTTGATTTTGACGATCCATCAGAACCGCATGACGTACAATTTGTAGATGTGTACGATATTGATGCTGAAGAAGATAATTATGGAAATGAAGTTTGCACTGTGGATGATGAAGGTGGAAATGTAAACTTAAGTTATAAGAAAAAGGCAATCGAATTTTGGAAGAGTGGAAAGAAAGGACATTTATTTCTTACTTCTGTACAACATCGTTTTAGAAAAGTAAAGTTTAATTAAAAAATAAGAAGAATAATATATAGTAAAATACTTGAGGCTTTTACGGTGTACAGTGACCGGCAGTGATTCGTTCCGCGACAGAGAGAACTCTATTTCCCCTCTCGCGGAACGCATCATTGTCGGTCATTGTACATACAGCTTTGACTATAAGTATAAAGCATCCCAAAAAATTTATTTAAATTGTGTAACAAAAACATACTATATGAATATATGGAGAACATAATATAGTATACGAGTACATGGAAAAATAATATAATAAAAAAATATAATATAAGAATATGTGGAAAATAATATTTATTTTACAATATTTATTGTAATATAATATAATATTAATATAATATAAATTATAATATAAATATAATATACATAAATATAATATACACATTATATTATAAAATATTAATATAATATTTATTGTAAAGAGATTATATATTTACTATGAGTATATGCATTGATTTCTAGGAAAATACAATGAGTTAGAGATGCTTTATACTTATGACCAAAGCTGTAAATTATATAGTTAGAGTCGCGTTGTTTTTTATTTTAAGTTTTACAATTTGATGTTTCGTGAACATTTAATTCGTATATAACTTCTTTTATTTTTGAATTCGAATTGTTTAATATTGAGATTTGTTTTCTTCTAGGTAAAATCTATTCAACAATTGCACAGCTGGCAAGAACATGTAATGCGTGGGGGTTCAAATATAGACAAACTTGTAGTTATTGCTGAATATGTTCTTATAAAATTCCAAGAAGCTGTTAATAGAGGACTTATTATTCATGATATAAATCTGCGAAAATGGGCACTAGAAGCAAAGGAACAAGTGGATTTTTCTTCATTTAAAACAGGAAATTGGTGGATATGGAATTTTAAAAAGGCACATCGTATTACATCACGTAAAATAACTGCATTTAAAACGCGGTCTTCTCATTTAACTGATCTAACTATACGTCAAAACGCTGAGGAATTTGTAAATACAGTAAAGCCACATATTAATGTAATCGGTGCTGAATCAACTTATAATGCGGACGAAAGTGGCTTTAATTTAGAAATACATGCAGGAAGAACATTAGCTAATGTAGGAGTGAAGACAGTTGGAGCTACTATCCAATTTTTATCTGCTATGACTCATAGCTACACCATTACGCCTATTATATCTGCAGATGGACATCTCCTTTCGCCTTTGTATATAGTATTAAAAGAATCTACTGGTGTTTTTGGACCACAAGTAGAACAAACTCTTTTTAGACCAGTGAATATTTACATTGCGGCTTCAAAATCAGGGAAATTGACAACTGAACATTTCAAAAATTGGTTCCAAGAAGTGTATCTACCAAACACTGGAGAGAAAAGTATACTACTGCTTGATTCATAGACAGGACATTGCCCGAACCAATTGGAAGAACTTGTACCAAAAGATAAACATGTAAATATTCTAACAATACCAAAAAAAACAACTGCTTTTATACAGCCATTAGATGTTTTTGGTTTCAGAATCAGGAAAAATTTTGTTCGAAGCTTTTCTGATAGTGTTATTATAAATAATTATGACATAAATTTACATTTACGTAATAACATAATAAAATTGCAATCTTTAACACACAATCAACTGTCTTCTCCAAGATTTCGAAATTTATTTAGATATAGCTGGTATAAAAGTGGTTATTTATCAACACGGCCTGAAAAATTTCATAATCCAATCGATTATTGTTATTTTAAAGAAGAGAAACGTATACCAAAATGTAGCATTTGTGGTAAAATGGCTTTTATACGTCGTGCATGGTGCAAGCAATATTTTTGTTTTGAACATTTCTTTGAGCAATATCATTATTGTAATAATTATATAGAATAAATAATATTTTACTGTCCTCAATTCCTGTAAAATTTGTATATATTATAATCCATACCAAAATATAAGATATCTTTCACTCGAATATCTATATCGACTACTTAATTAATAAAACCTATATACTGAATGAAGCAAAACACATACACACAAATGTACACTGAATAAATTTATAAATTATATTTTTCATTATTAAATCCGTGTGTTCTCCTTTTTTCTTCATATCATTCATTTAATTATTTGTTCTTTACAATTGAATTTAAAAGATTATCTATATTAGGGTTATATACACTCTCTCTGCGTCCTCCTTATCATGCTGTTCTTCTTCAACTTACTTCTTAACATCAACTTTATTCTTTTCTTAGATTACCTGTTTTTATTCCTTCCTTACCTTTTTCAGTCAGTAATTATGAGGAAGAAAGAAATGCCATCGTCAAGCAGCGAACCCATAAGTTTGGTACGCGTAGCATACAGTGCTGGACAAAATAAATCATACACCTTTCAACTATTTGAATTTGTTAGTGTAACTATTCTTACAACAAGCAAATATATTATGAGATACAGGAAAATCAAAGCATTTTAAAGTATTTAAATAAAGGAAATGTGAAATAATAAAAATTGTGCTCAATTTGTTTGCAAATAATTTATTACTCAATATTGGTACATTGTATTCTGGACAAAATAAATCATACACCTAAATGATATATGGTAGGAAACTGTCAATATTTACATTTCATCGTTCTGCTATTGTTCGTCATTCTACTGTTTGTTTACATTGTATATATGACTAGAGTTTATGTGTTCGGTGAAGCAGTAATAATTGTGACAACCAAGAACAATGTCACAGAAGCAAATTTCTCTTGATATCCGAAATTTAGTCATTCGCGACCGACAGAATGGTAATTCTTTTAGAAAAATTGCTAATAAATACTTGATTTCTGTCGGAGCAGTGCAGCACATCTGGAAAAAATATGAAACACATGGGATTGTGGCAAACTATTCCGGAAAAGGTCGAAAACGGGCTACAACTTTTCGTGATGACACCAGAATCGTTCGAATGGTAAAACAAAATCCGAAGCTATCATCGCGAAACATTGTGGAATCGATGAACCTGACTGTTAGCAGTAGAACTGTGCGTCGTAGACTTAGGGAAACTGGACTAAAAAGTGTGTTCGCGTCAAAACGTCCTTTCATCAATAAAATAAATAAGAAAAAGCGATTCGAGTTTGCCAAGAAGTATGCGAATATGCCTCTAAGTTTTTGGAAAACAGTATTGTGGTCTGATGAGAGCAAGTTTGAGTTATTCGGACAAAAACGACGGTCTAGAGTATGGCGAAAATCTGGTGAGGGTCTCAAAGAAATAAATGTTCAGAAGACTGTAAAACATGGAGGCGGTAATATCATGGTATGGGGATGCTTTGCATGGTCTGGTATCGGTAATTTGGCTCGAATTGAAGGTATTATGACGGCAGAAAGATATATTGATATATTGTGCGAGAATTTGGAAGAATCTCTTTTGAAATTAGATTTAGAAACTAACTTTATCTTCCAGCAAGATAATGACCCGAAGCATAAAGCGAAAAAAACTATTGCCTTTTTTAAATCTAATAAAATAAAACTGCTCGAATGGCCGCCACAATCACCAGACTTAAACCCCATTGAAAATCTGTGGGCTTATTTAGATAGGAACGTGGATAAAACGAACGTAACTGACAAGACATCGTACTATGCAGCACTTCAGAAAGCTTGGGAGGATATTGATCCTGAATATATGAAAAAATTAGTCGAGAGTATGCCTCGCCGACTGGAAGCAGTATTAAAAACTAAAGGCGGCAACACCAAGTACTAAGCACCATTAGAATTAATGTTCTTTGTTCGTGACTACTTTTTTCTATAAGTGTATGATTTATTTTGTCCAGGGCACAACGCACCAATATTGAGTAATAAATTATTTGCAAACAAATTGAGCACAATTTTTATTATTTCACATTTCCTTTATTTAAATACTTTAAAATGCTTTGATTTTCCTGTATCTCATAATATATTTGCTTGTTGTAAGAATAGTTACACTAACAAATTCAAATAGTTGAAAGGTGTATGATTTATTTTGTCCAGCACTGTATATATAAGAGTATTTTTAATTTTTTTTTCAATATTGTTTTTCCAAACATAATGTTATTATATATGGTTGAATTTGTCATAAAATAAGCTTTATTTTGGTTGGACAATTGATTTTAACAATTTGAAAAAAGAGAAGAAGGGGGGGTATTTTATACACAATTTTACATTTAAAAAAAATCTAAATATAGCATAATAAAGTACTTTTAAAACCATAAAACTTTTGTCTAAAACATTTTTTCATATCTTTAATAGTTTCGATAATATTCGCTTAGAAAGACAAAAATCAACTTTGTTCAAGGGGTTGTTTCCACCCATAAAACCGTTTTTGGGCACCAACGAAAAATTGTTTTGTTATTAGATATATCTGCTCTACAATTATGCAGAGTTTCAGATTTTTTTGAATTTCCGCGTTGCCGAATGTCCCTTGTTAGTGTAACGGTCCGCTAACATTTCGATGCCGGTCTTATAGTGCTCGGTGTCAAGTCCCTCAAAATAGGCATTTGTTTCCAACTTGACCTCCTCATTCGAGTAAAATCTTTTACCAGCGAGCCACTGCTTCAGTCGGGGAAAAAGGAAATAGTCGCTGGGGGCCAGGTCTGGAGAATACGGGGGATGCAGGACCAATTCATAGCGCAATTTCTTTAATTTATCGGTCGTATCACGAGCCGACTGAGCTGGAGCATTGTCTTGGTGAAACAAAATTTTTTTCTATGCCAAATGTGGCCGTTTGACCTTGACCTCGTCGTCCAATCGATCCAGTAATGTACAGTAATATTCTTTATTGATAGTTTTACCATGTTCAAGATAATCAATGAATATTATGTTATGCGCATCCCAAAAAATACTGGCCAAAACCTTGCCGGCTGATTGTTGTGTCTTCGGGCGCTTCGGACGGCTTTCACCAGGCAATAATCATTCCGCTGACTGCCGATTGGACTCCGGTGTGTAGCGATGGATCCATGTTTCATCCATTGTGACAAATCGACGCAAAAACTCCTTCTTATTGCGGTTAAACAGGGCCAGATTTTGCTTTGAAAGTCGAACATGTTCCGCTTTTTGCTCAATTGTCAAAAAACGCGGCACCCAACGCGCGCAAAACTTTTTCATGTGTAAATATTCAAGAATGATATGACCAACGCGTTCCTTTGAGATGCCTATGATGTTAACTAGCTCATTCAATTTCATTTTGCGGTCATTCAACACGATTTCACTGATTTTCTGGATGTTTTCTGGAGTAACTGCCTCATTTAACCTTCCTGAACGTGGTGCATCATTTGTGCTCGTACGGTTACGACGAAACTCAGCAAACCAATATTTGATGGTTGAATTCGGTGGGGCAGATGTGCCGTAACATTTATCAAGCCATGCCTTTGCTTCAACAGTGTTTTTTCCCATCAGGAAGCAATGTTTAATCAAAACACGAAATTCACTTTTTTCCATAGTAAAGATAAATTCAGAGGTAACGTCACTTCGAAAGCTATAACTTGTACACGAGTCAACGAAATATCATGAAATTTTTACAGCATCTAAGTTAAGGTTGGTACTCTATAGGAAATATAAGGATTTTTAGTTTGTGGCGCCATTTATATGTCAGGCCAAAGACTTTTCAGCCCGTGTAGTACAAATTGTTACATAAGTTAAAAAACTAAGATTAGAGATTTATTTTATGTTCATTTTATGTGTATTTGCTATTATAAAGGAAAGACTTAAAGATAAGACATTTATTTTATGTTCATTTTATGTTTGTTATTATAAAGAACATTGCCAAAAGAAATAAAGCAAATGTTTACAAAAATATTATTTATTGCCAAAACTTGTTACAATAATAAAATACAAATATGTGTATATATAACACATATATAAAGAGTACAAAATATTGTCAGGAGAAATACTGTCTTATTAGATTATTGCGAATTCTTCGTCCAGCTATCAGTTCGTTATTTCTATTTAACATATTTAACATATCTATCCCGGGTTCGTTTACACCATCTATAACATTCATACCAAAATCCAATACTTCATGATCTGCTTCAGGTAAAGGCACGTTGTCGTGAATGCACATATTATGTAACACGGTACAAGCATTGATAATTTTCGAGCATACATCTGGTCGATAATGTAAAATTCTATGTTCCAACAAGCAACGAAATCTCATCTTCAAGACACCATTGCAACGTTCAATAAGTGATCTAGTGCTCTTTTGCCAATCATTGTATCTTCTTGTTCCAATATTAGGATTATTGTCCATTATTGGAGTCATCATCCAAGGTCTAAGCGCACAACCAGAATCACCTGTAAAGCAATATAATGTTATATATTGTAACTAAAAACAATATTGAATAATCACTTTGACGATTATATATTACCTAATAAAAAAAGCTGTGTCCACGATTGTAAATATCTTGCATAATAGAAAGAACATTACTATTATTCCAGATATACGAATCGTGAGTACTTCCAGGATATCTGGCATTAATATTCATTATCCTAAGATCAGAATCACATATCTGCAAAGAAAGCTATACTTGTATTATTTGTATAATAATATATCTAATTGAATTGTGTTAATGCATAATCGTACCAATTGTACATTAATAGATATCCTTTTCTATTTATATATATATGTTCAGGATAATTCTCATCTTCTTTAGGAGGTGAAACAATTGCAACATGAGTGCAGTCTATACAACCAATCGCTCCAGGAAAACGATGATTAATCCAAAATCTATATATATGTACACTGTCCGTAATTAATTCGTTTCGTTCCCCTAGCAAGTTTCTATAGAATGTGTTACACATCCTATACACATTCACTAAGGGAACGGAATAAATTAATGACGGGTACTGTGCATATAACATAATCTATATGTACATATAATATAAATAATATACATAAATAAATACGTATGATTATATTATATATGTATATAAATATATACAATAGGTGCTTTCCATTTAGCGACATAAATCAACACAAGTATCATTCTATCTTTTTTCTCATAAAATGTAGAACAAAGATAAAATGATGCTTGAGTCAACTTGTGTCGCTAAATGGAAAGTACCTAATGTCATAAGCCTGCATTCTGAGCTCTCTTTTTTATCGCTAAAAATGCCTTTAAAAGTGGCTTATAACCAATCATAAAGCTTATATGCCACTTTTAGAGGCGCTTTTATCAATAAAAGAGAGCTCAGAATACAGGTCATAGAGTCTATCAGACAGACCATAATTATATACACATTATCCTATTTAATTTTTCTGAATATATACTAACTTGTTACGTAGTTGTTGCAGCTTCTGAAGGATGTTAGGAAAACACACCCAATCGTTGAATATTTCTGGTAAATTAAGAATGTTAGTCACATTTCGAACACATCTGCTGACCGAAGGTTGACTAATAGCCATGTGAATATTTTTTCCTATGCAATTCTGATAGCTGCCTAACCCATAAAAGTGTAATGCAACTAAACCCTACAATAATTTTATTAAATAATTATATCAAATAATTTATATTCTGCATGTGTTGTACGCACTTGTACAGTTGCGTCCAAAGCTGAAGATCGTGATGGTTCTACAAAATTGTCTTCCACAATATTAATAAGTCTGTTTGCTGTTTCTTTTTTCAATCGAAAAAGATTTATGAACTGTCGTTCTAATAATTCAAATGGATCATCCCTTATATGAAAACGCGCATTCATTATAATCGAAAATATTTTCCAATTGTTCAGCGATATGAAGTTGCACAGCATTTTGATATGCTATATCCATTGCAAAACAATTAATTTAATTCACCTCACTCACATTGTATAATCTCACTTTTGTCGAAAACAGCGCTTTTATTACTAGATTTATCGTATACGACTTGCATATCGCATGGGTTATACCACTCGATATGAATCGTTCGATATTTTCTCGCATGCGATGCATCTCATTCATTCAAGAATATCATTTCTGCTATCGTATGCGATATCGCATACGATATCTAGGGTCCTCGTTTCAGGAATAGATCCCCTAGGGTTTGAGTCTGACCTAGTTTCGACTTATCTTTTCTTTGACGTATGCGTGACGTCACGATGCACACTCTAAGAACCTTCACTAGACGTCTAATAGCAACAGGCGACGGTGGTCTAGGAGCTTTGGAGCATTGGATAGTAACCGCGAGGGCCCGGGTTCGAGTATACCTAAATCCCAGTACATTTTTTTTCTCGTGACGTATGCGTGACGTCACGGTCGCCATCTTGCGTGACGTCCCACCATGAGTTCCCCTTCCTCGCGCGACGTCATACACTGCGCCCTGAGTTCCCCGCTTCCCCGCGTCCCCCTCAGCATTCCTGAGTTAGAACCGGCCTTACTATTCTACTACAATCGAAGTCTCTCTCGACAATTTCAAAAAGATTGGAAAAGGCAACCTCACAGCAACGAAAATCAGATCGCGGATCGCGACGTTGAAGGAGAACTAGGCGCAGTTTCAATCTGGCCACGACATACTCACTCATGGAACTGACGCTGCGCAATAAGCGAAGATAGAATATTTCAAGGACCGTTACTGCGATGCTACTGAGGACGAGTTTCATGCGGCTCTTGACCACATGGCTGAATACTTGAACGAGATCGAATCGGTTGTGAGTCCAAATCAATCATTCGCCAGCTCAAATTTTCGTCCGGATGCTTCCAGTGTTTCTTTGTCGCACTTTCCGCTCATTCAGTTGCCACCGTTCGACGGTAACATCGAAGAATGGGAGCAATTCCGAGATCGTTTTACTGCGCTTATAAGAAATAATCGCGATCTCAACGATTTCGCGCGTATGCATTTTCTATCGTCGTGTCTGAAAGGTCGCGCTTTGGAAATCATCTCGAATCTTGCAGTAACCGCTGATAATTTCGAGATTATTTGGCACACGTTAACTTCGCGATACGAGAATAAACGCCGGTCGCTCAACGTGCATTTGTCCACTCTTCTTAATCTAACATCGCTCACACGTGAATCTGCCGCGGAATTGGAAACTCTACTTGATTGAGTCAATGTTGCGATTGCATCGCTTCGCAACATCTAAATCGTCTATATCGCAGTCTAAATCGTTCGCCTGAAGATCTCTGGAATGACATCCTCGTTCTTATTACACAAGAACTTGATCCGATAACGAGAAAAGTGTAGAATTTGAAGGAGAGCGACCGGGATATTCCGTTGTCTTACGACGAGTTCAATAGTTTTCTACGGCCCGTGCGTTAGAGGAATTTATGACAAATGCGAAGTCCGCTCAGAGACCGCTGCAATCTTCACGCGGTCACATTGCTACCGCCGTTACGACTTCAAAGTCAGCGTGTCCGCTTTGCCAAGCATCGCATTTTATTAACGTATGTCCCGCTTTTACGAGCAAGAATGCGCATCAGCGTCGCGAGATCATTAAGCAAATGAAGCGATGTTTCAATTATCTGAGTGCTAAGCATGCCGTTAACGATTGTACCAGTAAGTATTCGTGTCGATTTTGTCAGAAAAGACATCATCATTCTCTGCTGCACGTCGATTCGGATTTTTGTTCAAATTATCGACCAAAGCTGCGTCTATAAGTTGCTCAATACCTCAACACCTTTCATCACAGTCTGACGTCACGTCTTTGCTCGCTGCGAATGCAAAATCCGCCCGCGCGCAAGTCTTGCTCGCGACAGTTTGGATGATTGTCCGCGCGTCCTCCGCCCGCACCGCAATCGTCCGAGCTCTTCTGGATCAAGGATCTGAAATGACGTTCATTTCAGAAAGTCTCGCTCAGACTCTACATGCAAGCCGCGTATGCATTTCGATGTCAGTTTCCGCCGTCGGCGGAATTTATGCAGATCATTTTCGCTCTGCAACTTGCAATATTTGGATATCACCGCGAGACGTTTTCACTCCGTCGTTCGATACAACAGCGCTCATAATGAAATCTCTTACTTCATACGCTCCAAAGCCCTTAATAGAAGAGATAGGCCGGTTCTAACCCAATTTCTAAAAATTTTTGCAAAACCGCTTTTTTAATTAAATAGTTCTCGTTAATACTCCCTTTATCAATAACCCCTCCCTAGAATTTTTTGCTTTCATGGACTAGATGTGACCGTGACGTCACGAGAAAAAAACTGTCGGGGGGCTGCTGCTAGATTCGAACCCGGGCCCTCGCGGTTACTATCCAATGCTCTAAAGCTTCTAGACCACCGTCGTTTGTTGCTAGTAGACGTCTAGTGAAGGTTCTTAAGGTGCCAATACATGGGAGCGTCGAGCGTCGAACGTCAAAGCGTCCAACCAATCAGTTTCTCATTTCTTATTTCAGGGATAAAAACAAGGAACTTTGATTGGTTGGACGCTTTGACGCTCGACGCTCGACGCTCCTATGTAAAGGCACCTTTAGACTGGGCATGATGACGTCACGAGAGGAAAAATAAATCGAAATTAGGTCAGACTCAAACCCCAGGCCCTTCGTTTACTGCGCAATATCGAACGTCTATCGAACGTCTATTGAACGTCTATCGAACGTCTATCGAACGTCTATCGAACGTCTCTCGAACGTCTATCGAACGTCTATCGAACGTCTATCGAACATCTATCGAACGTCTATCGAACGTTTATCGAACATCTATCAAATGTCTATCGAACGTCTCTCGAATGTTTGTGCTTACAGTTTCTCCAAACGGTAGAGGATCGATATGGATTTAAATGACGACATTCCACTAACAGCAGTCAGTATTCGCTTGGCAGTTTGCGAACATGTCGCTAACGCTTACGTTGACTGGCAACAGTAGCGTCCTTACGGTGAACTATTTTCCCGCTATAGATTTGAGCGACGGTGATTATGAGCTTGGTTTAACGGATTTTGAAACATATAATACGATATCAAATGTAAATTCATCGAATAATATATTTTACTATGGTGCTAACGACAAAGAAATTACGATTCCTGAAGGATCGTACGAATTGCGCGCCATATACGAATATCTAAAACGTGCAATTTCATATTCTCAAAAACAGTGCATTTCAAAAATAACCCATATAGAGATGACGATAATGAAAGTAGAATAGTAAGGCCGGTCCTAACCCAGGAGTGCTGAGGGGGACGCAGGGAAGTGGGGAACTCAGGGCGCGGGGTATGACGTCGCGCCGGGAAGGGGAACTCATGGTGGTAGGTCACGCAAGATGGCGACCATGACGTCGCGCATACGTCACGAGAAAAAAAATGTATTGGGATGTAGGTAGACTCGAACCCGGGCCCTCGCGGTTACTACCCAATGCTCCAAAGCTCCTAGACCACCGTCGCCTGTTGCTATTAGACGTCTAGTAGAGGTTCTTAGAGTGGGCATGATGACGTCACGAGATAAAAAATAAGTCGAAACTAGGTCAGAGACGTCACGCATACGTCAAAGAAAAGATAAGTCGAAACTAGGTCAGACCCAAGGCTAAACCCCAGGCCCTTCGTTTACTGCGCCATATCGAACGTCTCTCGAACGTCTATCGAACATCTCTCCAACGTCTCTCGAACGTCTATTGAACGTCTCACGAACGTCTATCGAACGTCTATCAAACATCTATAGGTATTTTTATCAATATAATTAACATAATTAACATATAAAATCCTAAGAAAGGGGATAAGGGGAAGTTGGAAGAAAGGATGTGGTCTAAAGTAAAAAAGATGTATCATAATATATAACAAAGTAATTTATTTCTCAGAATACCAAACAGCTCATAGCTTCGTGCAAGATATCTTTCGAAGCACATGTCAGCAGCTCGCAATCAATAAGTAAATCACTGTCAAAGGCAGCGCTTTCACGTATCGCTTTTACCGCATTGCACATTTCGGTAATTTTTTTTTCTCGAAGATCTTTTACAAAAGTTAAAATTCTTGATCTAACCAGATACGACTGTTCAGACAACTGCGTATATATATGATCAATGCAATATTCATAAGTAATGCGATGTAATTTCTGTTTGCCCTCGGCAAACGTCCGTCGGCTCGCGCGACACGGTCCTTCTCACAATACCAACACTAAAGGGGTTGGGCGCCAGGTGCAGCGGGCTGCACCGATCACCAACACCAATGAGAAACCACCAAAAGGCCGAGACACGTGAATCCGACGGGACCGGTAGTTCCTCGGAAATTAAAGTCGGTAGACGGGAGGGTTCGATCGGAAATCCGGGAAGTTATCGGGAAACAAAGAGTGGCACTAAGCGTTTGGATTATCTCACTTTTATTGCGTCACGGGAATCGGTACGGTCCGACCCCTCGATATGATACACCTCGCCGCGTTCTCTCGCGAGTTTGAGACTTGCTCTGCACTCACAAATAGTTAACCGAGACACGGTATGCACGGGACACCGAAAGAGAAAAACAGGTGGACGGTCTTACAAAGTCGGGAACCTCCCGGCGGCGTGGTCCTTCGTCCTCCTTCCTCCGCTCGTTCTGGCGCAACGCAGCCACCGACGGTACCCCCTTAGCCTTCCGTTTCCCCTCGGTCCTCGGCAAGGGGCCGGGCACTGCGGTTTTCTTTACGATCGGTAGTGATCGAAACACCGCTTTCCCTTTTTCGAGCAGCACGGCAAACCTCCTTAGGTGAGCGGAACACAAAAGAACAATCCTTCGAAGGTGAGCGGAACACCAGAACTCTATCTCTCGCTAACGGCCAAAACGAATCTCTTTCCTACAGCGATATTCGGTAGCTAACGACAAGCGATCCGCAATAGTCGGAAGCAGTCTGGCGATATAAGAGAGACCGAAAAGCGGTAATC